AAACAAAGTAGTTTCGCTTTCACAACGAAACACTGCGTCACACACCGCGGACTAGAGTGAGCGGAGGCCGGCTTGAGTGAGCAGAGGCGGCGGGCTTGAGAACGGCGCGGCCGGCGGATTCGACGAAGAAGCGTCCGGCGGGCTTGTGGCAACCACATGTGACGACCCCGGGCTGGACTCCGCTTCGTCCACGGTGAAAGCCGATCCGGCAATCCACAGCGCGAAGTTGATGTATTTCCTCAGCGACCAGCACGGATCAGCTCTAGGCAGCTCAAGGCCAAACAAAGTAGTTTCGCTTTCACAACGAAACACAGAGCGTCTTCACGACATGGCGGCAGCAACAATACTACAGCGAGAATAAAAGTTACGCCTTCTTTCTTTGCGTGAACATTTGGGCGGCGTTATGCAAATCTTCCCACATCGTGACGTAGACATGTGGGGGTGTGTTAGAACGAGCTGTTTTAGGTAGGCGTGGTTGACTCTTAACTTTTATAAAGAATATCTCTTTGGATTTGAGACTTTAGTCTTTGCAACTTTACAGATCTGCTTTATGCACCAAGAGCTTGTAACACTCCAAAGAGAAAGGAAAAATTGAAATCGCATCATATGACCCCTTTAACATGCTTTTATAGTCGCCTTTCCCACAATTACATATAAAAATGACTTTAGATATTCAAGTAAGTTGTGAAACTGATTCTTGGCAGTCATTAATGTACCTGGGCAGCTCCAGTTTCCTCATCTTCATCCAAATCATCCATGGATGAGGCCTGGATCTCCGCCGGGTCTATGATGATGTTGGCCTTTGCAGCCAGGTCATCTAAAACATAATAAAACAGTCAAACTATCAAGTTCAATATGCAAAACAACAACATAGTAAGTCATTTAGCCACTAGAAAGTGTAGAAGCTGGATTTGTTTTATAAAATAAACCAAAAAGAAGATTTCAGGAGTGAATGTGGCTCAGATTTCAACACTCGATAAGTCATCTCAGAGGACGACAAGCTCACAAGCTTTTATGAACGCTTCCATCTATTATTTATTAATGCACATTTGTCTTCTTCTGGACAGCAGAACAATAAAAAAAATCTTGGCTTCAACTCGTCAGAGGGCTTATAACAACTGCTTTAGGAGATATATGGGCTCCACTTCACTCCAAAGGTCTACATTTTCAAGGCTATCCAAGTAAATCTCAGCCTTGAAGTTCAGCTAGTGAAGGAGTGAGGTGTTGTACAGTATATGCACATTGATCCATTTTTATTGTAAGGTGCAAGCTAAGCACTGAAGCGACCCTTCGGCCTGCCCGACTAGTGAGTCTAAAGAGGATCTGTGTGCTTGGGTAGTTTAAACACATTATTAGGGAAAAAAATATAACACAAAACTGCACCAAAAGGGCTCACTTATAATAGTGACCCAATTTATCTAAGAGAGAATATAGGTGGTATTTTTTACCCTATTTTTTATTTAAAAAAAAATAAATTAACTGAATGTTAATGTTTTATTGGAACAAAAACATAGCTTTAAGCACATTTTACAAAACAAAAAAAAAACAAAAAAGAAGAAAAAAAATCACATTTATTTTTATAAATCAAAATTGTTATGTTACATAATATATAATGTTATATTAAATATTTATACTAAAATAATTGTATTATATATTATACATGTAATTTATTTAATAAATTATAATCTAAAATTATTTAAAATAATTTTAATAATTTATAATTTATAAATTATTGAATGTTCACCACAAATAAATAAATAAATCAATTTCAATTATATAAAAAAGATAAAAAAAGTATTTCATTATGACACGTTTAAGAGTAATGATTTATAATAATTACATTTAAAATAATTTAGCATTTGTCATTTATTTTATAATTTATAATTTATTGAATGTTCACCACTGAGCAATTTTACAAAATCAATAAAATTTATTATTTAAATTTTTATTGTATTTTATATATATATATAAAATATGTATAACGATATATTACATGTCTGTAAGTAATTTAATTGTTAATAATAATAATAAAATATGTTATTATTATTATTATTACTACTACATTTAAAATAATTTATAAAAATGTACTTTTATTTTAATTTTTAATTTATTGGATGTTTACCACTTTGAGCACATTTTACTAAAAAAAGTAATTTATTTTATATTACACGGAATGAAATAAATGTAATTTAACTTTAATATAAATTATAATTGCATTTCAAGTCATTTTATAAAATGTATTTTGTAGTATTTCATCACTTAAAATTAAAAATCAATTTGATTAATTTTGTATTTAATATATAATTTATTTGAATGAGTTTGTATATTAATGTCATTTTAATATAATTAATGACATTTGAGACCCTGGACCACGCAAATTAAGTTCTTAGCAATGCATATAACTAATCAAAAATTAAGTTATATATTTACGGTAGGACATTTACAAAAGATCTTCATGGAACATGATCTTTACTTAATATCCTAATGATTTTTGGCATAAAAGAAAAATCGATAATCTTGACCCATACAATGTATTGTTGGCTATTGCTACAAATATACCTGTGCTACTTATGACTGGTTTTGTGGTCCAGGGTCACATTTTAGTAATGATATGTAATATAAATGATAATTAAATTTAAAATAATACTTCATAATTTATTTTACATCTTCATACATACCGTTTCCTTAGCATAGGATAAACTGAGCTACAGCAAATAGGGTGAACATGATTATGCATTTATCGAGATCACTATACAATCTGATAAGTAAATCTAATAATTTATAGTACGACGTCTCAAATGGAAACATAATTTAAGACCAAACAGATGATGAAGTCTGACAGAGTGGATGACCCGAGAGATATGGTTTCATTAATTTGGTGTCAGACTGATATAGCATCTTCATTACACCTGAATAACCTCTGGCCGTCTGTCAACTGACGCTGATAAATCTCACAAACATCAAAAGTGTCTATAAATCTGACAGATATTGCAGCGCCAAAACTGGGACGAGAAAGTACACTTGCCAGTCACAGACGATGTAAATTAGAGTCACTTGAGCAGTTAGTCACGATTCTCCATAAGCAACCTGGCAAGTGTGCCAAAATCAGTCGGTGAAGGAAACAAACTGGCTCAGGTCCGAGTACGGCTGCCACTTGCATGCTACGGGTAAAAATATCAGGATTTGCCACGTAATGACCTTGATGAAGCTATTAGAGGAAGTCAGTATGAAGAAAGAGCACGACAGTTTTACCTCAAATTGATGCTGGTTAGTTAAGGCTGGGGTTAGAAGTTCAAAGAGCTTTAGTGTAGTTCAATAGAAATCTGCTGGAGAAATGTCATATTGGCTGATGGGATTTTTTATTATTATTATTATTATTATTATTATTATTATTATTATGATCATCATTATAAAACTGACAGAGATTACTTTTAAACTTGACCTAAATCAATACTGCGCAATCATTAAACAGCCAAGAGATGATATTAATGAAAGCAAATGTCGATGGTAAAAGTAAAGGTGTTCTGGGTTGTTGCTACTTTAGGTCCACTTACAAGTAACTATAATAGTCTTTCAGTGTTTACACAACACAGTTTCAACTAAAACGGAAAACGTTTTATGCGTTTTGGCCGTTCATTTACACGACAACAGCATTTTGGGGGCCTGAAAACACAAACCTTTAAAAACGGGGTTTCAAAGTGCAAGTATTTGAAAACTATACCGTTATTGCCTCCGTGTAAACTACAAAAATACAAATTTGTGAAAATGGTGACGTCATGCGTATGTGTATTACGTGTTCAGTCTATAGGTTTGTGCACAGGCACAGTGTTTCTTTACTAAATAACATCGGCATCTACTGGCCTGGCATGAATAATACAGTGTTTTAGCCGTTTTCGTGGATCTGTGTGAACGGGGATTATTTTGACAACATTGTCGTCAACAAACTTTCCAAGTTTTAGTACATCCCTGTCATGTAAACTAAGCCTGGGTTTTGACACCAGTTTCACGATTCAATTCGATTTTGAATCACAAGCTTGTGATTTGATTCGATTCAATTCCGATTCGATATCAATTGTTTTGGATACATCAGGTACAGTATGGCAAATTTTCTCAAGGAAAAAAAAAATCTCTCAACTAATGCTGTAAAATATACATACTGTAAGAGTCAGTTGGTACTACATTACTATAATATTGAAGGTTAAAATTAACTGATTTGTATACAAACACTTAAATTACACTCAATTCAGTTTTCATAATAATAACTTTACAATTACATAATTATAATTCTACTCCAATTCGTTTTTGGAAATATAAACATCTGAATGGTGGCCATCATGAAAACTTGACGGATTTATTCAAACATAAATTAAATATTGAAGAACAGTAAAAATTATAATCAATATGTTATCTTGTGCATATATTTAGCAAAATGCTCCACTCTAGAGACTACTGAGTTCACGGTCACCGAATATGTTTTGAGCTTTAGTGTAGTTCAATAGAAATCTGCTGGAGAAATGTCATATTGGCTGATGGGATTTTTTATTATTATTATTATTATTATTATGATCATCATTATAAAACTGACAGAGATTACTTTTAAACTTGACCTAAATCAATACTGCGCAATCATTAAACAGCCAAGAGATGATATTAATGAAAGCAAATGTCGATGGTAAAAGTAAAGGTGTTCTGGGTTGTTGCTACTTTAGGTCCACTTACAAGTAACTATAATAGTCTTTCAGTGTTTACACAACACAGTTTCAACTAAAACGGAAAACGTTTTATGCGTTTTGGCCGTTCATTTACACGACAACAGCATTTTGGGGGCCTGAAAACACAAACCTTTAAAAACGGGGTTTCAAAGTGCAAGTATTTGAAAACTATACCGTTATTGCCTCCGTGTAAACTACAAAAATACAAATTTGTGAAAATGGTGACGTCATGCGTATGTGTATTACGTGTTCAGTCTATAGGTTTGTGCACAGGCACAGTGTTTCTTTACTAAATAACATCGGCATCTACTGGCCTGGCATGAATAATACAGTGTTTTAGCCGTTTTCGTGGATCTGTGTGAACGGGGATTATTTTGACAACATTGTCGTCAACAAACTTTCCAAGTTTTAGTACATCCCTGTCATGTAAACTAAGCCTGGGTTTTGACACCAGTTTCACGATTCAATTCGATTTTGAATCACAAGCTTGTGATTTGATTCGATTCAATTCCGATTCGATATCAATTGTTTTGGATACATCAGGTACAGTATGGCAAATTTTCTCAAGGAAAAAAAAAATTTCTCAACTAATGCTGTAAAATATACATACTGTAAGAGTCAGTTGGTACTACATTACTATAATATTGAAGGTTAAAATTAACTGATTTGTATACAAACACTTAAATTACACTCAATTCAGTTTTCATAATAATAACTTTACAATTACATAATTATAATTCTACTCCAATTCGTTTTTGGAAATATAAACATCTGAATGGTGGCCATCATGAAAACTTGACGGATTTATTCAAACATAAATTAAATATTGAAGAACAGTAAAAATTATAATCAATATGTTATCTTGTGCACATATTTAGCAAAATGCTCCACTCTAGAGACTACTGAGTTCACGGTCACCGAATATGTTTTTTTCTGAGGTAAATGTGACGTTACGTGACACATTGTTTACAAGCTACTATATTGACGTCTTTCCGCGGTTGAAACACTGATTGAGCGAACATGAGACAGGATATGAATTTCGGAAATTTGTATTCTTTATTTTAACCTTCGGATGTTCATTCATGTTTATTTCGAGCTGTAACTGGTTAAAGCAGAGGAGACGATCAATTCACGCTGCCGCTTCTGCGATCTGTCACGCCACATTAAACCGGACCGGATTCTTGGGATTTAAGAATCGATATCGTTTCGTAAAAATGAGAATCGATTAACATCGAGAAATCAATATTTTTTACCAAGCACTAGTGTAAACGTACCCTAAAGCCAAAAGTATACTTCAGTTTTTACATGTACACAAGGGTAGCATACTGTGCGCGTGACACAAATGTTATCACCAGAATAGTATGCATGTACTATACGCGCACCACCTGTTTTTTTTGTAACCATGCATACTTTGTACGCGCAGAACAAATGGAGTACACTTTGAAAGGCTATGTGTTCGACTGTAAGCATACACTAGTGTACACGTACAAAAAACGAAGTATACTTTGGGCTTTCATGAGTTTCGAAGCCTATATACACACATAATACAATCTAGCTAAACGTAGGCTATATAAATAAACTACACCCCAGTCGCCTGACTTCGGCGTTACCATAAAGTTTTCAATAACTCTTTCAGTTCTTATTTAAAATCAACAAGTTGTAAAGTTTGAGTTCGAATAGTTTGTAAGAGCACTATTTTAAACACAATGAGGCTGTGAAAGCGACTAGTGAGTAGATGAGTTTATCTGTTCAGTGTGATGACTCTTAATGTCCCAGACATCCTCTGTAGTCCCATTTAGACACTTGTTAGCGACCACCTTTTTCAAGAATTTATTTCAAGAAAAGCTTAAATAAAAATCACTAGTGGGCTTTTACTGGTGTATTTTATATCGTAGAATAAAACATGAAAATATCTTAAGCTTGTGTTCATCACAGACATTATTTCATGTCATTTAACCAAAAGCCCATTCACTGATTTTGGGACATTGCAACCACAAGTTCAAAGCTTGTTTCCGTGTTTAAGGACTCATTTATGCAGCACTCTATAGTGAGAACAACTGATAAGGCATCACTTTAAAAAATACTGTGCTGAATAAGATGAGGAGCAGATGGTGGATTTGGCTGCTTCATACTGATTGGAGACAAAAACACGGCAAGGTTTGGTGGCCAAAATCAACAATAACTTAAAAAAAAGAGAAATTATGTAATATATGTCAAAGCCCTCAGCAGCTGCTAAACGTAAATCAATATTGTCAAGATAAAGTCCAGATGACAAGGTTAAATTTTTGTACACAAATTCAAAATAAATAGATCAAAACCGACAGCTGATGACCATCAGTGTAAAAAAAAACACAAATAGAACAAAACCGACAGCTGATGACCATCAGTGTAAAAAAAAACACGGATATAATGAGTGCGTCCCATTCTTCACTCATCCTTCCCTTGTTTCCTCAAAGCCCCAAAAGAGTTCAATCAGGCGCCAGAGGGAGGAGGAGACGTTCCTGCAGAATCAGCAGGGAAACCATACAGGAATAGGAACAATGTAATTACCAGCTTTTAATCAAAGAAGGCCAGAGAACAGGAACACCGGTGGAAGATGTGTGTTTTAGGAGACAAAAGCAATGGAGAGACGGAGTGAGAATTAATGAAATTCAAACTTTGGTACAGCAGAGCTGTGACACATGACAAGACATGCCTCGCCTCTCCCTGTTAATGGAAACAAGCGTATACAAACACAATTGTCGAAGATGCCTTTTATTTTAATCACAATGGGTGAACAGTACTAGGCTGATTCATAATTTACGTACCATCCGTTCTGTACAGTACACCAGATTACGTGTGCCTCAAATCATAATTAATCGAAAATAGTATGCCAAAGGTCAGAAGATTTCTTTTACTATTTTGACACTTTTATTGATAACTATAATATGGGGAAACTGGATTATGAAATGATGCAAATATGACTCAGATTCATATTATGTTTTCATGGTGTACAAGCAGCGAGGCCACTTCTCGAGTTTCTTGAGGAATTAACAAAGTGTAAAGTTAATTAATAAACCACATACTACCATATATAGTGATGAGGTGAAACTAACTAAAATTAGCAATGCTCCACACTTAGTGATTAGTTCACCAAAAAATCAAATTTGCTGAACATTTACTCACCCTGAGGCCATCCAAGATGAGTTTGTTTCTTCATCAGATTTGGAGAAATGTAGCATTGCATCACTTTCTCAGCAATGGATGCTCTGCAGTGAATGGGTGCCGTCAGAATGAGAGTCCAAACAGTTGATAAAAACATCACAATAATCCACAAGTAATCCACACCACTCCAGTCCATCAGTTAACATCATGTAATATGAAAAGCTGCGTGTTTGTCAGAAACAAATCCATCAAGGTGTTTTAACTTTAAACTTTAAACAGTCACTTCTGGCCAAAATATGAGTCGATAATCCATAACAACTCTTCCTCCAGTGAAAGTACATCTCCTGTGGTCCTCTCACATCAAAATACACAGACATATTTGTTCAGAGTTGTTGTGGACTGTTTTCACTTGTTCTTGACCTACGCATATTTCTCTCCTGATTCAGACGAGACACCTTTTTCACTGTAGGAAGCAATATTATGGATAGAAGACTCAAATTTTAGCTAGAAGCAACGGTTTGAAGTTAAAAACATCTTGATGGATTTGTTTCATACAAACACAGCGGTTTTCACTTCACACGGCATTAACTGATGGACTTGAGTGGTGTGGATTATTGTGATGTTTTTATCAGCTGTTTGGAGTGGACTCTCATTCTGACGGCACCCATTCACTGCATTGGTGAGCAAGTGATGCAATGCTACATTTCTCCAAATCTGTTCTAATGAACAAACAAACTCTACATCTCAACCAGACCTGCACATTAATACTCAACCAATGGCGTGAATTTAGGCTGACCAATGGCAAACAGGGGAAACTGGTCTAAAAGTAAACATTTTCTTTCCCGTTTAGTAATGCCAGTGGTGCATAAATGACTAATTTCACCTTAACTACATTACACGATTACAATTCTTAAAAGCATTTTTGGAAAATTAGCATGAAAGATCACTTCGTTACTGATTTTTGTAACATTCTATTGCAGATACAGCTTTACATCGGTGCGAATTGCGACAATAAATTGAACACAGTCCGATTCATTTTTATCAAATGGTTGGTTTGGATGGTTCCTTTAAATTAAAGGGAAAGTTCACCTTAATGAAGCCTAACAGGTTTCTGTGCCTCCACTGAAACTTAAAAGATCCAAAAAAGTCATAAAGGCGTCATGAAGCTAATTCATATGAATTGAGTGGTTTAATCCAGGATGAAGTTTCGATGGAGGCACAGAAACTTAATTTGTTTTGAAGATTAACCAAAGTCTCATGGGATGGCTATATATATATATACATACATATATATACATACATATATATATA